AACCTATTGCAATAAAACGGCAATTTCATACTTTAACCCCTAATATAACACAAAACAAAAAGTCAACAATTAAAAACAAAAACTCAACAACACATGCACAACAAGGAACACGTTCGATAACGACAGCCGCCAGAAACCGAACGGAGATTGGATCGTGGTGATGCACTGGTGGGGGATGTAACCCGACGACCTGTGCCAAAGGTTGTTCATCTCCGAAACATTACCAATGGGATAAAAATCTTTCCAAAGGAAAAAGTTTTGTCAGTTTATTTTATTAAATATGGTGTTTCAAATAAAAAAAATGATTTGATAATATTTTGTTTATAACACAATTTAAAAACCACAGGTACCCGTAATTTTTTTTTTGTAATGGCTTCACTTTTGTTTACATTTTTGAACTTTGATTTCATGTCAGGGTTATACAATACAATTTTTGTTTATGAAGGCCATAAGTAGGCACGTTTCTTTCCTTTATTTTTTCCATCCTATACGGACCCAATAATGTACTACCGTGATAACGTATGGTACAGTCATCAGCACGTCAAGCTTGACATTTTGTACTTTGGACCGTTCTTATCATATGCGGCATAGAGTTGGATTTAAGTCTTAAGTGTCATGCTTGACGTGCTTTTGACCCTGTACAGGGTAAGAACGATTATTGTATCGTACGTACAAAGTGTCAAGCTTGACTATACAACTAGAGGTGCGCGTTTACGAAAAGCCCATAAAAAAGTTGGCTTTTTAAAATAAGCACATAAGCACGCTTTTCAATTTAAGTGTAAACGTTGGTCACTTCAATACTCAACAATTTCATTTGTTACAACGTGCTTATGTTTCAAGTCCCGTCATCTGTTTTCTAAACAAATTAATTCGTCTCGAAATTTAAATCGCATATATTTGTTTTTTCAAACAAACTGACGTTTCGGGCCCTTTACAGGTCCCATGGTCACGGTTGACCGAGGTGATACAGTCTTCAACCAGTTAGTCTAATATTAATGCAAACCACTGTAAGTCAATGAAACCACCCCTATTTTTTCACTATAGGTAGTTAATTCGTCAATGTGAATAATAATTTTATAAATAAAAATAAAACTCGTATTTTACAAATAAACTTACTTATCTTAAAACCTTTTGTAGCCTACTCCTGCTTTTCGCTATCAACACAACGCTGCAAGGTTACTTTTAACATACTAGTGTATGCACAAGGTGAGGTATGGTTAAGTTACTCGGGAAAGGTAAAGATGCCATAGTTGACGGTATATTAACTGTTATATTTCATTGATTGTAAATAGCTCGTCATTCTGTACAATACCACTGTTCATTAATTGTCATAGGTAGACGTCCAGTCGTTGATAAGGCGTCGTTTCGGTAAGGAAGTTGGGCGGTAGACAGGTACCTACGTGTGGCGCGTTGGATCTCATTGATCTTATTAATTGTCAATGTCATGTTGTCATACGAAATGCGTTTGAAGAAGGAAGTTGGTGGGCGGTATCTACGTGGTGCGTTGGATCTCGTTCACGCACACAGACATATACCTCTTTGCGGGTTAGCTGCGGTCGCGTTGAGGAAGGTTGAATCGGGCACACGGCACGAGCCATGAACGCCTCAAAACCGCGGTTTCGAACGTTCGGTGACCCGGCTGCGCGTGTTGACGCTTCGCCCCGCTCACTACCTACTTCTCCCCTGGTTCGTCGTTGTTCACTTTATGAGAGTCCTAAACTAATTTTATTTTTAGGCTTCAAACAAAACGTTAATAAAAGTTTTTGTAGTGAAATTTAGCTAATTATGAAATATGTGCACGAATACATATATAACGTTGGGTTATATATAACCTAACCTAACGTTTTACCCAATGATTGGCCATATGACAGGTTACGTAGTAGTACCTACGTGTAAAAACAGTTACGAAATTATAGTACCTACATTAAGAACATTCCTAGAAACATTCTTATTACTTAAGTTACAACATGAATTTGTTAATTTATATAGGTAGTCTATTTTGTATTCTATCCTTTTTTTTTTTCTTTTTTTTGACGGGGGGGAAATCTTTATGGATACCCCTGAGCCCAGCGAGACTCAGGGGTTATGTGGGGACTCTCCCTCCACACTGGAAGGCCTACCCCACTAAAACCCCCCCCGGGTTTCCCTCTCGCCGGTTGAGTCGGCGCCGTGGGATCAGTGAACATTCACCACGACGCCGCCCGGGTTGTATTCTATCCTGCAAAATGGTATGATAAATGTTGCACCTAATCATACCTTTAGTAAAATACCTACAATAGCTGTACCTGATTCAATGCAATGACTATAATATGAAAATGAACATTATGTTAGATAACAATATCTAAGTACATATCTACTAACCAAGCGTTCATACGGTAGGTATGTTATTCGGATTTTTACCTACGATCTACGAATTAATAACACTATAGCACAGAATAATCCTATTGCGTAATATAATTAAACTTCTTAAGACGACTGTGAACGTTGTTCTATCTACATACTTAACTTAGCCATCTAGTTAGACAGATAAGTGGAATTAGACGTGTACGTTGGGGCGTTGCCAAAGCTACGCATGCGCATTGCAGAACCGAGAGTTCACACGCGCGCCGAAACCGCGGTAGGCCTCCACGTGCACGTCACCCTCCCCCCTCTCCGTCTCCCGCAACCCGAACGTCGTCGTCGTCGAACGTTTCTCTCTGCTCAGCCATCTTGAAGTTGCTGTAATTGTACTTTAGAGTAAATCCGTATTATGTATGTAATATACCTAATATTACACAGGTACCTACGACCGAAATAGGTGATCTGTAATGAGAATTTAAACACAAAGCAAATGTGTGGCATGCAATGTCACGATTTTTCGTTGCATTACTGAAGTTATTTATCATTTATGTAGCTGAACTCCTGCAAAAAAGGCAAAGACTATAGTTAGCTATACTTATTTTCACTTCATTTTCATTTTCACTTGGTACATACCAAGTGAAAATACTATTAGTACCAGTAATAGTATTACCAAGTTTTTTTTTTAAGTATTGTGTATTTTTAACAGTCAGTGCAGAGTACGTGGAAATTCACACAATGTTTGCTACACTGTATATTTTCGTATTTTCAGCATTCACACATACTTAAAACACACGTGTGTATATTAGTCAAAAATTAGGCTGGCCGTACACTCACAATAAAATCGATAAAATTTATTTATACGCGCAATAATATTGCGTGTGTGCGGACTATATTGCTATACTGTACAATATTGTTGCAGATTTTCAGAAATTCTGATTTCGTTCCTTCGGGGGGGAGGCAGGGGTATTGTCAATAATATTGTGCTTGTATGTAGTATTGAAAGCAAGCAGCCATTCGTTTTTTTTAAATGGAAGACGAAAACAGTATTCTAGGTGAAAATAGAGTAGATAATGCTACTCCCATGGAAAAATAACAGTTGTGAAAATTTATTAAAATGTACGAAATGTGTCAATGCGCACGCGATAGATGTTCCCATCTATCGATGCGTACCGTGATAGTATAAAAAGAATAGTGCGCTCGATAAGTTAACATGTGTAATCAATGTTACAACTTTTATCTTTCTATCCTTTTTATGATACTTGCACACGAATCAAGCTTCTGCGCGTTACTGATTCAATTTCAACATGACATATTGACAAAAACAATGTGCGGGAAGACTATAATATTATATTTATAATGTTTTATTGACAGACTTGGATTGCCAATAATATTATGTGTGTGCGTCTAGCCTTAGTGCGGTGGCACGGGGCAGGGCATGGGGAGTGGAGGGCCAGTACCCGAGTGAGCTCTGACTCCGAGCGAGTCTAAACTCAACAAACACTACATTCGGCATTCGGCCGCGGACCGCCCCGGTCGAGCGAGCGTGTGTTTCGTCAGTTAAGATTTAATATTCACAACCTACATCAACATAATCGCCATTGTACCCAGCATTAACAAAGTTACCTATCGCCATCACACCCTAACATGATAGGTAAGTAGTGTTACTGTTAATATTCTTATTTATCATCTGTGTCAATTCACTATAAAATTTATTTACTTGCATAAAATTATTTATTGGTTTTATGCCTATATTTACTATTGCGTATTTTTCATAGTTTTTAGTGTATTCATTTCCTTCAAATGAATTTAGTACTTTCGTTGTCATTTCTTTGGAAAATATTTTAGCTTACGAATTATTAACTTATTCTACAGTATCTAAACATTCTACTAACGGAATCAAGAGATACTTTGTATCTGATAATGCCTAATCCAGAATACTAAATATACGTAGTATTAAATGAAAGAATTTAGAGACGTTGGGACTAGGTGCTAAGAAAGTGAGGGGTAAAGGAAGCGCGTGCGGGGTACAAAACGGACACAGGGGTCGCCGGCCCAAACACGTGGAGGCGCGTACCGCGGTACCGTCTCGTCGAAACCGCGGTGAGGGCCTCCACGTGCTATCAGAGGACATTCACTCGTTTTACTCGGCTCCTCTTGCACCGCGCGCTCGGCTCTCACCCCCTGTATGACCGTTGTGTGTTATGTGTGTATCCTCCTGATAAGCGCTGCATGCCATACACAACAGACACTGCACTGTGAACGGTCGCCGCGCTTGTTTCAAAACTCGTTTATTTATTAAGGATAAATCATAGTTATGGCAATACGTGCTACTTTTGAAATAGATTCATTTCGTTCGGCAGGTGAAGAGGAACGAGTACACCAGTGCGGAGAATGTGGTTTGTCACTTTCCACTCGGAGTGCATTAACTGCACATGCACGCTCGCACCGTGTTACTGCCGATGCACATCGTTGCGACGTTTGCCACAAAACTTTCGCCGTGCCTGCACGACTTGTGCGTCATTATCGGACCCACACTGGTGAACGACCTTTTGAATGCGAATATTGTCACAAGATGTTTAGCGTCAAAGAAAATCTCCAAGTACACAGACGTATTCATACCAAGGAAAGACCATACCGGTGCACAGTATGCCCAGCAGCTTTTGAACATTCTGGAAAACTTCATCGTCATGCCCGTATTCATACTGGTGAGCGACCGCACGCTTGCCCCCATTGCCACAAAACCTTCATCCAGTCTGGTCAGTTGGTAATCCATTTGCGCACTCATACCGGCGAGAAGCCTTACCGCTGCCCAGCTATTGGCTGTGGCAAAGGTTTCACTTGTTCAAAGCAGCTGAAAGTTCACTCGCGAACTCACACTGGAGAAAGACCTTATACTTGCGATATTTGTCTTCGCGACTTTGGCTACAATCATGTCTTAAAATTACATCGTTTTCAACATTACGGCGAGCGATGCTACCGTTGCACTGTTTGTGATGAAACTTTTAATACCAAGAAACAAATGGAGGCTCACATTTACAAAGAACACGGGCCAGAAGCTCCGCGTGCGCCGACTATGCCAACATCAGGACCTTTAATTGTTGAAAATGGAAATATTGTTTGTAACATTGTGGAGGCGGCTTTGCCACAATTACCTCTTACACCACCGAGCTCGCCACCATCACCCCAAAGCGGTTCTGTTTCCACTGTTAATGTAATAGGCCAATCCATACCTTCGCCACCAGCTCCTCCTTCGCCCCCTATGACAAATTTACAATATACTCTGGCACCGTCTTCTTTACCACCTCGAAAACGTAAATTAATTACTCACGTTGAATCTGTCGCAGAACCTATTGTACGCCATACATCAGTAATTCAATTTGCTCCTGCTGCAGTTGATTCTTAGAGCATTCGCTAAAAAACTAAGAATTAACTGAAATGTTTCTTCGAATGTAGGTATGTACCTTGTATTGTAGATGCTTTTCCATTTAAATAGGTATTGTATGTCGACTGAGTTTGTAGCAGTGTTGTATTGTGGTGTTAAGGTGTAAACGTGATTTATATTTGATTAGGTATCTATTTGTAGAACATTGTATTTCATGATTGGTATCTCAAAACTAAGAATGTTAGTTGTAAGCAAAAGAAAAGACTAATAAATATAATTAACAAATGTAGCTGATTAAAGAATGCATTTGTGCCGTCATTAGTGTAAGCTGTTTTTTGTATTTATCTACCATTGTGTTAGTCTTATTATATTATCGTCTACTTATATAGATTTTGTGTTTTTTTTATAACTGTTATCATTTTCCACAAGTCCACACAAATATTTCATTTAAATATATTTTTTTGGCGTGTTTTATTCCGAAGTTACGTAGCTATGGCACAGTTTTTAAAATTTGACTAGCCAGAATAAGTCGTGAATTAGTCTGTTCTAGTCACAAAATTTTAGAATTAGTCGCTCCTTTGTTTAGAAAATACAACCGATTTATTATTTGAAGGTTATACTACCTGTGTTAGTCTCGGAGCTTATGTACATACAAATTTTGTATAATATACAGCATTTGTTTTCTTTTGTTAAATACAAGGTGATGGTTTTAATTTTAAGTTTTTAGTATAAGCAAATTAGCAAAAAATAAACAGTTCCTTTACCTTAATGGCATTAGGATTTACTTCCATTTTTATTAGGATTTATCGTTTGTCATGATATTAATTAGTGTACGTTTGTCGCGTTGGGCTTTTGGCATACACGAAAGGAACGACTCGCGTACGACTATTGATCAGAATAATGAATGAATGTCTTAATAGAATAAACGATTACTATTATAATTTATAGCGCAAGTCATATTCAACTACAAATTGGTGTTACGGTTAAATTAGACTCTAAAACTTCAATAGATATTAAAGTATTTATTTATTACACTCCGTCAATTCAAAATTTTTTCAATCACCGCGAATACGACATCTTGAGTGATCTCACAACTAACATTTGGAGCGGTGGCTTTCTTTAGATACACATTTTTAGTACGATTTTTCTACGTATATGTACCTATCAATGAAAATAATTGAATATCCATCATCTTCTTAAGTAAGAAGCGACAATTCTAAAATTTCGCGACTAGAACCGACTAATTCACGACTCACGACGATTTCAGGGTACAATCAGATCTAAGCTAGGAATTGTGGTTCTCGAGATTCAAATGAGTGAACCAAATAGAGACTGAGGAATGGCGTCACCGGGATTAACTTATTTCAATGTGGATAGCAAAAATTCGCGTGCCTAAAGTCGTAAAAAAATAGATAGTCGTTACGCCGTTTTGAAGTTATTGCGGTGTTTTACTGTTCACGCTGGTATAAGCTTATTCCAATGGCACCATTTTTGAGTCTCGAGAACGACAGCTTCTAGCTTATATCTGATTGCACCCAGAAAAAGTCGTGAATTAGTCGGTTCTAGTCGCAAAATTTTAGGATTAGTTGCTCCTTTGGTAGAAGATACAACAGATTTAATATTTCAAAGTCATACCTGTGTTAGTTTCGGAGCTCATGTACAAATTTTGCATAATATACAAAATTTGTTTTTTTTAATACATGGTATTCGAAGATTTTAATAATGTTTACTTATTCTAGCGTGGACAGTAAAACACCCATATAACTTTTGAACAGCGGACCGACTAAATGTATTTTTTTGCGACTAGAACCGACTAAATGTAGTTTTTTTGCGTCTAGAACCGACTAAATAGCGACTTATCTGGCTAGTCATTTTCAAACTCGACCATGGTCACGCTGCTGGTAAGACACGCATTTTTTACCTCAGTGGTGAACGAAAGGTAAAAAATGTTATGTATAATTTTAAATACCTATTCTATTTATTATGTTCACGTGTGAATAGTACGATCATTCAATAAACAAAAAAGTCGAAGAAACAGAAATAGTGATGAAGAAATCATCACTATTTCTTTCTTCGTTTTTCCTTCATAATATACTTAAAATAAAAATAATCGTAAAAGCTGTTCTTGTAACTTCAAAAGCCCGCCATTTTCCACTTTAACATATTTTTTTTATTAAGAATTTTGGCTTGGATACAAATCCTTGAGGCATGTCTTTTATCGGGATCCTCATTCAATATTTTCCTTCGAGGTTCTACAACATTATCTTTCACTTTCTCTTATATAACTTAGTTCTCTCGTTTGGGCTTTCTAAATAGTCTTAAGCGGCGGCAGTCAATACATATTTACGTTTTCACTTTCACATAAATCACGTTATTGTCACTTTGAACAAAAACTTTGAATTCGTTATTATTGGACTTTTCAGGATAAAGTCTTTCGTAATTTGGTTTAAAATAAGGAATATCGTTAGAACGATATTCCACAATAAATTATACATTCCTTAGAAAGTTAGAACTTTCTTCATCACTATTTCTTTCTTCGCAATTTCTTCATAATATAATCAAAATAAAATTAATCATTGTAAAAACATTATGTTTTCAATTCTCTTAGCGACGGGAATCAATATTTATGTCTTCACTTTCACTTAAGTCACATTATCTTCTATCACTGAACAAAAACTTTGAATTCATAATTAGTGGAATTTTCAGAATAAAGTATTTTGTAATTTGGTTTAAGATAAGGAATATTGTTTCTTCATCACTATTTCTGTCTTCGTTTTTTCTTCATAATATTACACTTACCATAAAAATAATCTTTGTAAAGACTGTAGTTGTAACTTCAAAAGCTAGTTGTAACTTCAAAAGCTTGCCATTTTATTTATTAACTTTCAACGCGTAGACTATGGAAACCAAATGACATGTGATGTTGACATAATATATAAATCAGTTTATACGTCTATTTTCTTATTTTATTACAATACATCTTAGACTATGGAAACTAAAGGACATGTTACGTTGACATATATAAATCAGACGTTATATGTATACGATGCATTTCGTCGTCGAAAACATAAACATATTATTGTCTTTGTTTAACTATTACGTGCCGTCTTAAGCCAAAAGAGATAGCATTACATTGGTCTGTGTCAAACACGGGAATCGAAAATTCGTAACGTCATTTTAAATGCCAACCGTGGCCATTTCAAGTACATGAGGTACATGATACCGTTGTCAAAGGGAAGTACATCAAATGTCAAAACAAATGTTTTTCCAAATGTATTATTGAATTATTCACATGTATTATAATTAAATTGGACAAAAATATTGACAGTGAGAGTAATTAGGTATTAATAAAAATGCGACGCTGCAGCATTAAAGGATGCGGCTTTAGAAAAACTGCAAATCAATCGAATGTTACATTGCACAGGCATGTGCTTCTTTTATTTTTTTCCATCCTCTAAGCAATACATGCGAATAATTCAATAAACCACTTGGAAAATATTTGTTTTGACATTTGACGTATGTACTTCCCTTTGACAACCGTCTTTCTAATTTATGGTATCATGTACCTCATGTATTGCTGGGACTATATTAGGCGATTCAAATTCTCTTAACTAAATTCAACCGCTAATACTAATACACTTTTTTTGGAAGATCCATCTCAGACCATCAGATTTAAACCTTCTCAACAAAATTGCTTCTCGCGACAGCATCGCCATTGATATGCGTGAATTACAAATTTATTTCTTATCTCCTGGTGCTGACTCAGCACAATGGCTCACCTCTAATTTTCAAATGCATGAATTTGATGCTGCTCTCATGTATAAAAAAAATACTTCCCCAGGTCCCGATTTCATTCCTTATTTAGTGATAAAAAAATTACCATCCCAAGCTAAAATCATTCTTCTTAAAATTTTAAATCAATTATGGCGTAATAATTCTGTTCCCCCTGTTTGGAAAGATCAACATGTTGTTCCAATTCTTAAACCGTACAAGGATATTCATAGCTTAGATGCATATAGACCCATATCATTGACATCGTGTTTTTCTAAATGTTTTGAAACTATGATCAAAAATAGGTTAGAGTGGTACATTGAAAGCAACAGTTTGATTCCGGAGTTTCAATTTGGTTTCCGCAAAGGGAAATCCACCATGTATAACTTGGGATGTTTAATAGGTGATATAAAAAGGAATATGAGGCGTAACAAATTCACTCTTGCTGTTTTTTTGGACATCAAAGGCGCATTTGACAATATAAATCATGCATATCTTATCAAGAGTCTCTCTTATCTGGGCATTCCAGGCCCTATTCTATTGTGGATATTTTCATTCTTGAATGGTAGAAATATTTCTTTAAAAATTAAAAATAATCTTTTTGGCTGTAGAACCACAAATAAAGGTACTCCTCAGGGTTATGTTCTATCACCTTTAATTTTTATATTGAGCCTTGTTAATCTTATGAATCAAATTCCAATGTCTGTGAGATATTCATTTTATGCAGATGACTTAGTAATTTATCTCATAGACAAAAAAATATGAACAATTGCCTTTTTACATTACATAATCTATTGGCGACCCAATTAATGTTAGAAGTTAATACAAGTAAAAGTTCAGTCATGCTTTTTGCGGCAAAATGCTCATTTACGCCCAAAATTTATTACAATGACTGTTTGCTTCCAGTCCAATCTAAAGAAAGGTATTTGGGTATTATATTGGATCCTCAATTATCTTGAGAACCACATATTCTACATATCTGCAAAAAGACTGAGTTAGGCTTAAACATCCTTAAATCTCTAGTGGGGTTGAAATGGGGAGCTGATCCCAACATTTTAAAAGTCTTGTATATTGCAGCCATTCGCAGCCACTTTGACTATGGATGTATGTTTTTTGCCGATGCTGCTAACCATTTACTCAGAAAGCTAGAAGTAATTCAAAATAGAGCTTTGCGAATAATTTCAGGATCTATGATGTCCTCCCCCATTAATTCCCTAGAGGTAGAAACAGGTGTAGTTTCTCTTATTGTCAGGAGGAGCTTTTTAACTGAGAAGTTTTGTCTTAGATTAGTAAGCTGCGACAATCCTGTAATTTGTAGTTTTTTAGAAGAGTATGACATTCCTGACTTTAATACAGCTCCTTTAACTGCTACTACGACGCTGCGCGCTGAGCCAATCTATTGCATATCTAAATTTTGAATTTCAGAATGCTATTTATTGGTCTCCAAAATTGCCTTGTTTTAACTTCGACTTTCACTGTTTAATTATGGATATATTAGGGGTTAAAGTATGAAATTGCCGTTTTATTGCAATAGGTT